GACAGCAAATCTGCTAAATAAGTAATGACACTTGGTGACATTTAAATGTTTTTCCACAGCCAACCTACAGCTAACTGTCGGATTATATTCGTCTCTGTACTTATGTTCAAATATCTCAAAATCGGTGGGATTTAGGTATAGGGAATGCTTATACCAATGGAAAGAGAATTAACAGGTGCATCTACTGGCATTATAAAACACAGGGTGTTCTATTTAAAATAAGCGAGTTATTAAACTTTCAATTTGACACAATTGGTCCGTATTTTTTAGACGCCCTGTGTAACATTCACCAACTTTCGAATATTCCAGATATTTGAACACGTTTTGGTATTGACCATCTAAAATTTCAGCTTCCTATCTTAAAAATTGGAGGAGATAGAACCGATTAAGTGTAAGTATGTTTTTTTCAAAAATTTTGAAAAAGTCAAAATATTACAAAAACTATTGAGTTTGAGGATAAAGTAAGGTTATAAAACTTACCTTAAAATTCGATGTAGAATCCAAAAATTAAATAAAAAATAGTACATTCCATTTGAAATAAGCGAGTTGACGTCTACTTCCGGTAGAACCGGAAGTTCCACGGCGACGCCAATATTTTCAATCGATAGAACATTAGGAGAAACCCCCGTACATAAATTTTCAGAATTCCAGTACGCGTAGTTTTCCAGAAACGTCTAATTGAAGCTCTATCTGGAACACCCTGTATATATAACTGTACCCCAGAGCCAGACTATGTTAAGTCCAAATCTGTAGTATTTTGACTAAGTATGTTAAGTTCCTTAACATGTTCTGACGCATCTTTTGGTAGTTTTCGTTTTAGCGTATATCTGAAGTTAAAGAAAATAGCGCATTATGGACTATGTTAATTCCACAGATTCCTTAAGAGCAAACTAAGTTAAGTCACTATAACTTTATTAGCCTCTGGGTGTATGTTCAGTTTGACATGTTAAGTCCATGTGTGAACATATACCTCACGCGTAGTTAAAATATATTTGGTGTGTATTTGTTTAAATATCAGTTGGCTATTTTTAAAAAGGTATGTCTTCAACTTCTATTCCGTGGTCTTCTAGAACGAAGAAAATGTTACAAAATTTAGTACACGAAATTGCAAAAAACGACGAAAATGTTTCACCTACAGAAGCCTCCAGCACAAAAACAACAGGTAAGTTTGTAAAATATTAATAGCAAATAGCAAGTAGAAGTAATTATCAATTTGTTTTAAATTATGGACCATATCATAATTTAACCAATGAAAATGAGAAAAATTTCGTAAATGACTGGACTTAGCATAGTTTAGCACAAGCATTATATAAAAAATGCGACTTAATTACATTTTTGTTAATGTCATCCAAAAGAGAAAACTAAATAATGAAAAGACATTATTTTTTCCATAAAACACCTATTAATTTTTAACAAAATGTCATATTGTCCCATTTTGAGTTATTTTTGAGCTTGTTTAAAATTTTTGGATTATTTTACCATTAAATTAATTTTTTACCTTTCTTTGTCATTCTTTTAACGCAGAAACTTAATATTTTTTTAGCATTAGGCAATATTTTCCATTATTTAACCAAATCCTCAGCACAGTTGTATTAGATATTGACTGTAACTATAATTTGTGTGCGTTTTTTTTTTTTCATTTTAATACCATTGTCATTATCACCATACAGATTTATTATTTGTACCCTGAAGCATTGACATAAAAATGGCTTTTTCCAGAGATTGTCAAATGTAGAAATGAAAATCCGAAAGACTGCTTTACCTGAATATCCTCAAAACAGTTCTCAGATAGTTCATATGCAAATTAGAAAAAGTAACCCTGGAATTCTATATTACAAAACAGATTTTGGTAATGATTTTTTAGAAGTCGACTTCAACAGAAAAACTAGGCGAAATGACTGCATTCACATATCTCTTTCACCTATTAGAGATAAGAATAAACCAATTTCAGCGACAAAGTATAACCACTTACAAAAGTTTTTAAAGTGGGTACCAAGAAGATTCCATGACTATTATAAAAATTTAGAGTATGGAAGAAACGAAGATGAATAAATGAAAAATTGTATATTTTTTTGTATTACTAGGAACCAAACTCTTAATGTTACATTTCCTTTATAATGATGAATAAATGATTTCATCAAAAAATATCTCTTTTTCTCCTTTTGGATTTACTATTAATGTTATGTCCATTAGAATTATGTCAAATCCATTTCTTTGGATTTAATATGTATATTAAATCCTTTCATTAATTTTTTTGTCTATGCAAAACTATGTTAAGTCACAAAAACAAAAAACAGACGCAAACAGCTAAAACTGGTATTATGTTCCTTGTTTTAATACTTACAACTATTTCAAATATAAACTACGACCCGAATTGTCGTAAAGAGTGTTTTATAATTTGAAAATATTAATTCACTAAAACTGCTCTACTGAAAAATTGAGTTTTTGGACTTGACATAGTCTGGCTCTGGTGTACAGATATGGATTTTAAATAGATATGGAAATACACATACTAATTAGCTGTAATAGCTTTGTAATTATCATTATAAAATATGAAAGAAAATGAAACTTATCATGTTTCCAGTAGTCGGAAAAATTATTAGGTATGTAGTCACTGCAAAAAATGATGTTATAACTTAACTTCTAAGCATTTTTTTGTTCAAATCATTAGTATTTCAAAATTTTTACTATTATTGTGGTTATAGCAATTTTTTCAGAATGTATGTTAATATAGTTATTAATATATGTTTTAATAGTTTTTTTAATTCTTAATTCTAATTCTAATTCTTAATTTGTTGCAACCAGTTCTACATTTGTATTGTTTGTGTATAAACATTCCATAAGTGGGCATGTATTTATGGATAAAAGTTTGTATTCCTTATGTTCGATATATTTGGGTGAATACGATAATCCACATATCAAAGCAGCAAAATAATCTCTCTAGCTCTGATTGTTTTTTCTAATCATTTGAATGAAATTACGCACATTGCAAATAACTCTAATTCATCGTATGTATGTATCCATATCGAAAAATGAAGTAACAGGTGGTATGTCTTATCGTCAGCCATTAAGAATTGTCAATTACAATGACTTAAAGATCAGACTGAAATTACAGTCAATCTACAAAATCAGTGCCTACTAGCACTTTGTTACTTAGGCATGTTGTAAATAACTTTAATTCGTCGTATGTGTGTGTATCTAAATCTAAAAATGAAGTAACATGTGGTATATCTTATCGTAGTAGTCAACCTACAAAATTAGTGCCCACTAGCACTTTGTTAAGTATTATAATATGGGTGGAAAGATAATGTAGACATTTAAAACATATTTTTTGTACCCAAAACGCTCATTTAATCATTCAACAAGAGGCCCAAAAACTCTCAAATAATATCATCTATCAGATCAAAAATACTTGTGATTATTGCCCGAAAGAGGAAAAGGTATGAACGGATATTACAACCATACATCAATTTTGTAGGAGTTGTAGGTTTTAAAAAACACTCTATATAAAACCAAAATGTGTAGATTGACAGCAAAAGTAAACACCCCAAAAATAATCAAATTCGATTAATACGTATTCGAGTTATTTACAAAATTCAAAAAATGTTCGCCAACTTTGAGGCCATCTAGCGGCCAAAAGAAACAATTTAGGATATAGGTGAATTAGCCTAGATCTGCCTAGATTTTGAGTCTACGAATCTGTGGTCTTCCGTTGTACACTTTATTCTGGGACACCCTGTATTTAGATATATCATATTTAATTTTTATTTTGAATAATTATTTATTACTAACTATTTACTGAATATTAGTGTGGTGTAACCCAATACTAGTTGGGGTTGTAACCAACAGAGTAGTTGTTTCCTGCAGCATTTCATGTGATAAGATTTTTTTTAATTATTTTACATATTAAATGTAGTAAGAAATTAAGCTAATAATAAAATATAATATTTTTAACTGAAAACTTGTGTGAATTTTCATGACAATGTTTCTAAGTGTGATATTAAATAAGGACATAAGAATCTTACTCTTGTGATGGAAATGCGTCCAGGTTACTGTCAAACCAGCTACAATACGCTTCTCCTAAAGTTGTTTCTTTTAGAGTAGCTATTAGTGGTGTTGCAGTCATTCCTGGACAAACTGCAAACACTTTGACCTTGGTTCTTGTATAGTGATGCGGATCACCCCAGCATCTAGTCATATGGGCGATGGCTGCCTTAGTTCCAGAATATATCGGATTACTTGGAACCGCTAAAATACCGGCTACGGAGGAGACATTGAGAATGACGGCTTGGGGTCCTTGTCTGTATTTAGGCAAATACTTTTCTAGGCCCAAAATGATTCCGTTTATCACACCATTCTGCACAAAAGAAATGCCTAAGTTATTTTCTACAATTTTGTTACTTTCTTTCGTAGCTGTTATTCAGTTTTATTTTTCGTATTTTAAACATATTCGTTTTACCTATACAAGATGTTCCTAGATATCATGTACATAAGGGAGGGAATAATTCTTTGGCTTATTTCATGACTAAAAGTTCATATAAACATAGGTCCGCAAACGCTTCGTTGCCGATCTACAAGGTGTCGAAATTTTAAAATTGTTTTAGTATTTTCTCTATAGTTCCTACAGTTTTTGAGATATTTAGCTCAAATTTGGAATATAGGTTACGCTGTAGCGCTTACATCATTGGGCATACCAAATAGTCGTGATATTCTACAGAGTGATATTTTTTCGGGGATCATGCCCCTTTTTCTTCCCCTGAACTTTTGTACGGTGCGCCGCTGGTATATTCTAAAATCAAAATTGAATTTTATGTTTTGTTGAGAAACTTATTATTACTTCCTTATTATTTTTTCGTATCTGCGACCGTTATCGAGAAAAAAAAATAAAAAACGATTTTGTGTAATTCGTTGGATGAAATTGAAATTCTTAAAATGGTCCAGTAGGTCCTGGATTTATTTGCATAATCTCGCATTTGAAATCGTAACTTGGATCTGCATATGTTTATAAAAAACACCACAGAAATTAGACAACCCCCAAATCCAAAGCCAAAGGCTTGTGTGGAAGGGGGCTACACTTGAAAAAACGCGGACAAACACCCATTATCCATCGACATTGCCAGTGCCGACACCGGGGATCGAACCCGGACCAGAGTAGGAAGCCTAGCCGAGAAATGCTTGCCACCGCACTCTCGACCGACTGCGCTACCGTCAGTTTATAAATTAAAGATTTAAGTTATAAACTGTAAGGTGTAAAATTGTTTTAAGTACTCATTATAATCTCATAACAATGCCAAATTTTACGAATTTTGAAATGGCCGAAGTGCATTTCATGTATGGCCTTGCGAATGGAAATGCAAGAGAAGCTAGACGTCTGTACATGGAGCACTATCCCAATAAAATGATACTTGATCAACGAATATTCTCAAATATTCGTAGACGTCACTTTCGACAATTGTTGTAACATAGTTTTCTTATTATGGTTATTATTATTTAGGTTTTTATTGTAATAAATTATTGCTACAAAAACCGGGTCATCCCAGCTTTTAACAGGTAGTGGCGAATAAACTGTCAAGAGATTATCTAAATAAAGCAAGAGCCTACTGGACAATTTTAAGAATTTCAATTTCATTGAACAAATTACACAAAATCGTTTTTTATAATTTTTTTCGATAACGGCTGCAGTTGCGAAAAAATCATGAGACCAAAAAGTTTCTCAACAAAACATAAAATTCAATTTTGAATTTAGAATTTATCAGCGGTGCACCGCACAAAAGTTCATGACCCCCGAAAAAATATCGCTCTGTAGAATATCACCACCATTTGGCATGCCCAATGATGTAAGCCCTACAGCGCAACCTATATTCCAAGTTTGAGCTAAATATCTCAAAAACTGTGGGAGTTATGGAGAAAAAACTAAAACAATCTTAAAATTTCAACACCCTGTGGATCGGTAACGAAGCGTTTGCTGACCTATGTTCATATGAATTTTTAATCGTGAAATAAGCCAAAGAATTACCTTCTTCTTTATGTACATGATATTTAGGAACACCATGTATTATCCCAAGGCATTGTTTCTAGTTTACATAATTTTGGCAACACAATCATAAAAACATTTTGAGCTTTTGATTTTGATTTGGGTGTAATTAGTAATAATGTTAAATTCAAAATATTTAATATATCATGAAATCATATACGTGGTCTGTTCAGAAAATAACCGAACTTTATTTTTTTAAGCTTTAATATTAATTTTTACAATATTCTTCCTTGCCGCCTTCAAAGTACTTTCATCCCACTGACGAATTTACAAAGTTGAGTGTGCAGGCGCATTGTCATAGTGCAAAAACCATGAGTTGTCTCGCCACAACTCTGGCTCTTTTTGCGAATGTTTTCACGTAACCGTTGTACCACGACTTGATAATACACACGGTTCACTGTTTCACCTTGAGGCAAGAATTCAAAAGCACATTTCCATAAAATCGAAAAAACTGTGAGCATTACTTTGACATTAGATCGAGACTGATGTGCTTAGTTGGGAAGTGAAGTTCTTTTGCCAGTCCATTGTAATGATTCCCCTCCTATTATAATCCTTTGAATAAATGCTTCACCGTCATTGGATTGTTCAAGAAGATGCCGACAAACGTCCATACGATTTCCTTTCCGTTGTTCGGTCATCAACGAGGAACAAATTTTACTACAACTCTATGCATGTTCAATTTTTCAGCCAAAATGGCATGACCCAGTTGAGATCGTCACAGGCACTTAAACACGTTGCACTCAAATAACAATATCACAAAAACTAAATGAGACAATCAGGCCGAGTATGTATCCCATTTTATCATAATAACAGTTACGTTATTTCAGGGTTACACGTTAAGGTTAACGTTAAATGTTAAGATATAACGTGCACGTTATTGAGGAATTAAGACCATTTTTAGCAAATACTCGTATTGCAAATTTGTTGTTTTTTGAAGACGCTTTTGTGTCGACATTTTTAATAATAATTATGCAAAATTATTATAAACAAGAGTCAGTATTAGACAAAAACACATATAACTGAAAGATGTCTTTACTTGCCGGTTTTATAAACGCACATCGAAGGTAAGTTGTAAAATTTAAGTAACTTAGGTAAGTATTTATCCTAAAATTATTGTTAGGTTAAATCAAACGAAGAAGGATCTAACAAGGAAACTACCCCAACCCGAACTCTCCGATTTCCAATATTTTTATATATGTTGTAGACTCGGTTGTAGAACATAAAAAATTAAATGACATATTTTTTTATCGGCGGAAAAACATATTTTGGAATGAAAAAAAAATGGAAATTGCTTCTTATAAAAAAACAAATGTTTCACATTAGATTCCGTGTTTGGAGGTTGCTACCCTTATTTTTTATTTCAGAAAAACTATATTTTTGAAACATTTTTTATATATAAAAAAATCATATTTGTTAAAAAAAATAAAATATATGATTTATGTAAACAAATTGACAAAATTAAGCTCTCTTTTTAGCGGGTGAACAACCCTCTAGTGTGCTAAAAATGTATGTACGATTAGAATTAACATTGCAAAATAAAAAGTTTTTACTTTTTCTCTAATCATACGAATAATTTGTTCTATTAGCCGCAAACAGATTTAAACGGATGCAAACTACCCCTCATGTTCACCCCCAAAAACAGAATTTCTGTGAAATTTCAATATTTTGAAATGAAATAAAATGGAAATTACTTCTTTAAAAAAAAAGTGATTCCGTGTTTGGGGGTTGCAACCCTTATTTTTCATTTCTATATAAAAAATTCATATTGATTCAAAACATTAAAAATATGATTTATGTAAACAAATTGAAAAAAATAATTTCTCATTTTATGGGGCGAACAACCCCCTAGTAATCCCCTAGAGTGCGAAAAATGTCTTTACTTTTTCTCTAATCATACGAATAATTTTTTCTCTTGGTCTAAAACGGATTTAAACAGATGCAAACTACCCCTGATGTTCACCCCCAAAAACAGTAGATATATCCGTGATATCTCGGGTTCTAATAAATATTTTGGAATGAAATAAAATGAAAATTACCGAACCCGTTTTTGAGGGATTAACATCAGTTGTAGTTTGCATCAGTTTAAATCCGTTTTAGATCAATAAAAAAAAATTATTTGTGAAATATCCGTTTTTTTTTTATAAGAAGTAATTTCCATTTCGTTTCATTCCAAAATATTGATTAGAACCCGAGATGTCACAGAAATACTGAATTTGGCGGTGAACATGAGGGGTAGTTTGCATCCGTTTAAATCCGTTTGAGGCTAATAGAACAAATTATTCGTATGATTAGAGAAAAAGTAAAAACTCTTTATTTTGTAATGTTAATTCTAATCGTATAGATATTTTTAGCTCACTAGGGGGTTGTTCGAGAACTTAATTTTGCCAAATTGATTACATAAGTTACATTTTTAATTTTTTTTAACAAATATGAATTTTTTATATATAAAAAATGTTTGAAAAATATAGTTTTTTGGAATAAAAAATAAGGGTAGCAACCCCCAAACACGAAATCACTAATGAAACGTCTGTTTTTTTTATAAGAAGTAATTTTACATGTTGTTTTATTCCAAAATATTGATTAGAACCCCAGATATTTAAAAAAAACTGTTTTAGGGGCGAACTTTGACAGTGTATTTCACCGACATATTGTTTAATAATAATAATGTAGAATTATTATAAATACCCGATTCAATAGACAAAAACACATATAACTAAAAGAGTTCTTTTAGGTTATGAAACATGAAACAAATACAACGTAGAGCGCAAATAACAGGTACCTACGTACAACAAAAAATAGCGCCGGTTTACGGGACGTTATTTACAAACGTTATATCTAACACAACGTTTTAGCGTAAATGGGATACATACTCGGCCTGATTAACAAGCTAAGAACCTGTGGACGTTATGCACAATGCAATGCTGCCAATTGCATGTCAACTATTGTTGAAATAAATGTAGTAAAATATTGTTAAAATATTTATTTTATCAAAGAAAAACTAAGAAATGGGAATTTCATAAATGGTAAATAATTAAAGAACATTTTCAAAAATACCACCTTCAACTTCAATGCACTCGTTTCTATTGATGTTGCGAATAGCAGGATTAATAGCATCGCTATTATTTCTTTTCACATCGGCCGCTTTCATAATACGATCAAGTAATGCTCGTTTCGTACAGCAACGTGTTCATCCACCCCCCAAACAAAATAATCGAGTGGGATTAGGTTTGGAGACCTTGTTGGCCTTTATTGGACCCCCTCTACCAAAATTCAAAAAGTTCGGTTATTTTCTGAATAAACCAAGTATATCATGTAAAAATATAATTGCCCTTGCAAATAACATGCACTAAAGTACTTACAACATTTATTGCAACTTCCTTTTGCCACATCTTGTCGTTGCTAACACCAGCGTTATTTATTAAAACGTCAACATGCTTGAATGTTGCTATAGTTTTCTTAAACGCATCTGAAAAACAAACGATTCAGGATGATTCATAAAGTATGGTGCCAAACTGAAGCAAATTGCAGGAAAATCCTTTTAAAGATAGTTTATATGCAAAAAAATAACTCTCTATTACAATAAAATAAAAAAACACAATCAATTCAGCTCACAAATAGGTTGTGGGAATAATCGTCTCTTTCCCATGAATATGGGACACATGTGACTGTTACAAGGGAGAGACAGTGAATAGGAATAAATTCTCATTTCTCTTTCGTGCTACGTATATATTTTAGTGTCTTCGTGAATCCATCGTGAATGGGAATAAATCCTTATTTTTCTTTCGCGTTCTACGTACACATTTTAGTGTCTTCGTGAATCCATCTTGACAAACATTCTATCCAGTCGACAGTCGTCGTTGTAACCTTATATTTCTTAATTTTCGAAAGGGGGACTATTATTTGGCATAGACTTTGTAAAAACAAAAATGAATTCGGCCAGTTCTTTAACTCAAGTTGCGTGAAATATATGGACACCATGCAGATTGTTTCACTCTCACTTCTACAGGTCACCTAACTTCTTAAAAAGGGAAAGGAAATACTAAAACTTTGCAAGGAAGACAAAAATAATAAAACAATGTTTAGAATGGAAAAGTTACGTTCCACAACGACCTGATTTACATGCGACAAGGTTATTTCCAAGATTCAGCCGTGACATTGCGACAGGAATTTGGAAGAAAATTGTTATCTTACTGTTAGCGTTAAAGCCTTTAATTACCATTTTGCCGGTATTCTTCTAGTATGTATTCGTTGTTGGGTTCTGCTAGGGCCTTTCTTCAGGCGCTCTTCTCTCTTCGCTGATTCTAAACGATGAATTTTTAACCTTATGTAAGCATTACATTGAAATGCGCATGCGTCCGACTGTTGGAAACTGTTTTCGTTTGCTCTAGGACCTAAGCTAATATAACTTACGAAACAATTCAGTGGATACACATGTACTCTACACTCCTCACTAATTTATAGATGGTTTCTAAAATATGCACAATTACTTTTCAACAATGACGGTTTGTACATTTTCATAGCCCAGTCCCAATGGAGGAATTGTCTTTCTGATTGTGGTAACAGTCTTCGACACTTCAAATTTATTTTAAACGTTTTGATATTTGTTATTTCCCGCTTTTCTGTTTTTATAAATATAAGTAATAATATTTGCTAAATAATTTTTTACTTAGTTATGAATCAGCGCGTGTATGTAATGTGTTATTGTTACTTACTCTCAAATTGTTCGATATCGCTCACATCTGTTTTTACAAACAATGCTCTGTTGGAGCCAAACTCTTCTTCTATATCAGATAAAACTGTTTGGGCCTGGTTGGGATTTACGTCTGCTAGAGTTACCCCCTACAAAAAATAAAGTTCTGTGTAGGAACATAGGTAATAAAATAATAACGACGATACACTGTTGCAGCTGTGTTCATTCCTGGATGTTGCGTTAGTAGTGAAACTGTCCACCGCTTATTATTATTTAAAATGGACTAGGAACATTCTTTTTGTTTTTTTTTTGTCTTATTACATACATCGTGTGAAAGTAAAAGTTACATTTTCGAAAAATCTAATTTCTAAGAATTAAATAACTCTTTGCTAAGAATTTCGCTGCGGGCTTTAATTTTTATTTCAATATTTTGGCTTCAAAAAGCATCAGCTTTATTTTATTGGATGCCGTACTGGTTTTAGGTAAATAAATGTGTCGAAAATATTGTAAATACTATTAATCATTTCACAACCACACAAAAAAAAAAACGACTTTCGGATCCGGAGGTCAGGCCATGTTTATTATACGTTTTTTGGGTCGCTGAATCCGAATCTGAGGTCCATTTAACCCCATCACTTCAGGATTTTTCATAACCTCAAAAAAAAAAAACGATTATTCTGAACCATTGAACCATATAACCTTAAGACTCAAGCTTCCAACGCTAAATCCAATTAACCAAATCCCATAAATATTTAACCCAATGATATCCCAACCCCATAACCCCATAACCAAGGAAATAAATCATACGCAATATGTATTATTGCAAAACATCACATAGTTGAGGACTCCTTGAAAACCCTAGTACTCAAACCCAAAATGCATCATATATATTGATCTAGTCATTTCATATGTCCGGCCTTTTGATCTAGTCATTCTAGTAATATAATTTTTTGGGTTATCTATTGTTATCCTTTGGATTTTCATTTCATTTAATCTAGTCAAGAGAGATTCGTAACATTAATCATTCATTTATTTATTTTAGTTTTATTGATTAATTTATAGTACGGTCCATCCTACAAATTAATTTTTGTGTCAAAAGATCTTATGAGAGCTATACGATGTACGAAATCCGATCGCGCAACCACCTCGTGTTGTACATCGGGTAATGCTAATGCCGACGGTCCTACCAATTAAAGTTATAAAAAAAACTAGATCGATTGTAACACACTTTGGTGAATGGGATCAAAGTACAAGGTAATGAAGTTGTGGTTAGGGAATCGTGGAGTTATGAATTGTAGGGTCATTGTGGTTTTGGGGTTTGAGTGCATAGGTTTTTAAGATATCCTCAACCACGTTAACGTTTAGCCATAATATAGATTGCCTATGATTTACTAGTTATGGAGTTATGGGGTTATGAAGTTACGGGGTTATGGAGTTATAGGGTTATGGGATTTTTTTTAGTTTGAGTACTTGGGTTTTGAGTCCTCAGCTGTATGATAATACAGATTGCGTATGATTTATTCCCTTGGCTATGGGGTTATAGGGTTATTGGAGTTTGGGTTCATGGGCTTATTAGGTTGGGATATCATTGGGTTACATGTTTATGGGATTTGGTTAATTGGATTTAGCGTTGGAAGCTTAAGTCTTAAAGTTATATGGTTTAATTTTTCAGAATATCGGTTTTTTTGAGACGTATAATAGACATAGTTTGACTTCTGGGTCCGAAAGTCGATTTTTGTGTGGCTGTGTTATTATTCTATGTAACGTATTCATCATCCTCAATAAAGCACGCTCACTAACATTGAATGAATTAAATGAAAATTATTATAATGAAATGATTAAGTCGAATCCTGTTTTTTAACATGCAACGTTGTCATATTTATCAAAATATAATGACGCTACCGACTTTGTTTTGAACTTTTCCATATATACACAATGGAAAATTACAAAAATTCTCCTTTCGTTCAGCATTAAATTCCGTGTACCATTATTTACCTATAACATGCTGCACACTTCCTCGATGACATTTTCCACTCAGACTTTCCAATGAGCCTTTTTGCACTGGAATTGAGAAATTTTTGTTTTGTCATATTAATGTCTTTGTTTTTCGGGTATCTGAACGCTTGTGTATCAGCCGCAGAACTGGAGTAAAGCCTGGACGATTTTGACACTAGACATAGATTCTTGGTCTGAGTGATATATACTGTAGGTCTGAGTAATATATATTTTTTTGAGCTTCAATACTTACATTTTCCGATTTCTTTTTTTTTCAGTGCAAACTGAGACACCTTGTATTCTAATATATATAATTAATGCAAAATTCGATGCGGAATTGTGAACACTTAATTATTGAAGTATTCTTAGAAGTTGTTAAATATCGCCGACTGCATTATTTCTACAATATTGTGTTAAATTAAAAAAAAAGTAAACCACTGCAGAGTAATCTAGACTTCTGTTAATTTATTTCCTATAAATTGTTGAATAATGTTAAAAATATATAATTACAAAAATTAAAACTCAGACTTAAATTTGAGTGTTTAGTATTATGCATTTCTTCTTTATTTATTAATATCGAGCTTGGACCGTGCTTTTTTAAAGAAGTACATTGATAGCTGTGAAAATGTACACCATACGAAATTTTATGAAATACACTTCTTGCATAAACCCTACGCTGAACAGAAGTCTCTAATTTTATTTATTTATAAGCCCTAATGCAGCATAAACATTATTTTACCATTTCAAATTGGAAATAAATGTATTGCAATAAGATTTTTGTATTCTTTTAACCACTTTTTTATACGTAAGAAATAATTTCGTTGTTATTTAACATATATTTTCACATAGTAAAAGAGTACAAATTACTGTTTAGTCACTTACTTTAACACCAGCTCGAAGAAGCTCCTTCGCAAACTGGAGACCTATTCCAGAAAGCCCACCTGTCACTAAAACTACTTTTCCATTTAGTTCGAAGTCCATTATATTGTTGCCTTCACAGCGCTTCAATGAAAACTAAGTAATATCGAACTTAAGGCAGCACTGTTTATACATATATGTAAATAAGTACATAATTAATTTCTACAAAGTGTTGAAGTGACTCGATTTTTAATAAATGACTACAATTAATTATGTTATACCTGTATTTATAAAAATGCATGATTTTTTGTATTGGCGCTGTGGAGTACATCAATAGTTTCATATATTACGAAATGTAATCCTCAGTCTGGTAAAAAAAAGATAAGCAGTGTAAAAAATATACTTATAATAAAAGGCAGATATTATACAAGACAACATTTTGTTGCAGTAAATATTAATTTACAAAAATGTATTCTTTAATAGTAGGTATATTTTCCCAATAAAATCCCAATAAAAAATAATGTGGTTGTGGTTTGGCCATGTCTTGTGGTTACTTGGGCATTGTTTCCCTTTCTGGAACAATATACTGATAGGACGGTTGCCCTCCTTCGATCACCCAAACAGTTCCATTTGGAGAGGAATGGACAAGTTTTACAACTTCCTCAGCTACATGTTCGGGCCTGAAAAGAAAGACAGGTGTTAGAAGGAACTTGAAAATTTATAACATTTTCCGCAAATATTCGCACAATACAAAAAAATTACAAATTATGACCGTGCTCTACTGTGAAAATGTCTATCTTATATCTTTGAATCTTTATGTCTTTATATCTTTATATCTTTACATCTTTACATCTTTATATCTTTATATCTTTATATCTTTATATCTTTATATCTTTATATCTTTATATCTTTATATTTTATATCTTTGTATCTTTATATCTTTATATCTTTGTATCTTTGTATCTTTATATCTTTGTATCTTTATATCTTTGTATCTTTATATCTTTATATCTTTATGTCTTTATGTCTTTATATCTTTATATCTTTATATCTTTATATCTTTATATCTTTATATCTTTATATCTTTATATCTTTATATCTTTATATCTTTATATCTTTATATCTTTATATCTTTATATCTTTATATCTTTATATCTTTATATCTTTATATCTTTATATCTTTATATCTTTATATCTTTATATCTTTATATCTTTATATCTTTATATCTTTATATCTTTATATCTTTATATCTTTATATCTTTATATCTTTATATCTTTATATCTTTATATCTTTATATCTTTATATCTTTATATCTTTATATCTTTATATCTTTATATCTTTATATCTTTATATCTTTATATCTTTATATCTTTATATCTTTATATCTTTATATCTTTATATCTTCATATCTTCATATCTTCATATCTTTATATCTTCATATCTTTATATCTTTATGTCTGTATATCTTTATATCTTTATATCGTTATATCTTTATATCTTTATATCTTTATATCTTTATATCTTTATATCTTTATATCTTCATATCTTCATATCTTCATATCTTCATATCTTCATATCCTTATATCTTTATATATTTATGTCTTTATATTTTTATATCATTATGTCTTTATACAGGGTGTCCCGAAATTCCTGCAACAAAATTTGGTTACAGATTCTTAGGACAAATTTAGGGGACCCGTATTTTTTATTGTTTGTCAAGTGGCCCCCTCTTTTGGAGTTACAACCCCCTGAAATCCGCCCCTAAGAATAATCTTTCTTTTATATCTCAGAACCCTGTTGTAAAAGCATCACTAAATTTGGTATACAGGGGTTTTATGGCATGTGGAATCTGATGGTGTTACGTTTTTTGCCGAGAAAACCCCTTAAGACAATTTTTCGTGGGCCCCCCTTGTCTTTGGAGCCAAAAAAAATTTGGTCGCATATTTAAATTTCTTAAAAATTATCAGTCCACTTGAAAGCCATTAAATTTAGAAACTTCTTGTCTCTTTATACTTTTTTCGTAAAACGCAATGTTTTCCAGAAAAATGTCTAAATGTGATCGAATGCATATCGTGATTCGCCATTTTCCTCAAAAACATTGAGTTTTACGAAACAAATATCAAGAGACAAAAAAGTTTATAAATTCAATGGCTTTCTAGCTAACTAATAATTAAAAATAAAATCAAATTTGCGACCAAATATTTCTGGTTCCAAAGACAAGGAGGCCCACGAAAAAGTGTCTTAAGGGGGTTTCTCACCAAAAAGCGTAGCACTGTTAAATTCCACATGTCATAAAACCCCTGTGTACCAAATTTAGTGATTCTCGTACAACATGGTTTTGAGATACAAAAAAGACTTCTTAAGGGCAGATTTCAGGGGGCTGTAACTCCGAAGGAGGGGGGCAGTTGGCAAAAAGAAAAAATACGGGTCCCCTAAATTTGCCTTAAGAATCTATGATCAAATTTTGTTGCATGAATTTCGGGACACCCTGTATAGGAAAAATGGTAATGACGAAAGTTTTAGTAAATTTTCTTTGATTATAAAACTTTTAGTATGGAGTATCCTATATATCCGTCAATTTTTAATTCCTTTACTTTTTCTGATTATAATGATATATACGTATCATATATTTGCTTTGATAGTTGGTACAATACTTTGATTTATATATTCACTGATCCTGTACATAGTCAAGATTGCACTGGATCCACTGCGTGGGTATGTCCTATCCTGTTTTAGACAAATGGGATATATTTATTCCAAGCTAGTTTTTTAACCATGTTATCCACTTTATTGATTATTATGTAACGTGATTTAGATTAATGAATAGTAACTGATTTTAAGAACAAATTAAAACTAAATTATACAGTAATCTTAATCCAAACTTTAGATTCATAATAATGAATTCTAATTTATTGAAAATCTTCAACTTCAAGTTAAATACTGTCATAAGTTTAACATTACTCTAATTAACAAGAAAGATAGTAACTTACTTAAAAACTAAATTTAACAAATAACCACTTGCCTAATTATTGATAAAATAAGAAAGTCTCATTATTGGTTTTTATTAAAAAAAACATAACCTTTAACTACAACATATTAAAAATGTATTTAAAAATAACGAATCTTACATTTAAAATGGGAAATGCCTACAAATTTTGATTTTTGTAATCCTTAATTAAAAAAATAAATAATAATAATAAAATAATTTAAATAAATTTTGTGTAATAAATAAAATAAAACACTTTCGACTATAACAAAATAATTCTCAGAGCACTGATATGCAAGACATTTTTGACACTTGAAAAACTATAAGACTAAAATAGGATTTCAGTATTCGGAATCGCACAGCGTACAACACGAATGACGATAGAGAACGATGTAAAGGTTGAAAATACTACAACTTTGATAATTTTTTTCTCGGAAATTTTGCAAAATGTGTTGCGATATTGACTATTTTTTATGACGCATGAATTCCCAATTTTTTTTTTAATAAGTTGTGAATCACCCTGTATAAAGTGAGAGAATAGATATTGTCCGATAGTAATTACTATCCATTCTTACCCATCCATCGCTTAGACATTATTTTAATATAAAAATCGATTTAAAAAAATTTTCTTTGCATTTTGTAAACAGAAATAAATTTCGAATAAACTATTTCTTAAGATTCATATTATAAAATAAAAAATATGTAAGTATCCTATATTTAGTGATCACATTTTCTTAGATACGTAAATGAGAAGCGGCCCCTTTCAAATGTCAGAAATTAGACAATAGATAACAGTTAATGCATTTTAACTTTGCTAATTTACTTTGCTTACTGAACCATGGCCTTTTAACTTGGTTTTATTAATTAAACTAATCTCATTAGATGTAAACAAAAAACTTTTATCTATTAGGAGCAAGAGCATTCAGCTTACGCAAAGAAATGTTCAATGTTATTTACCGCTGATAAAAGATATTTTCTAATAAAACCGAGGATTTGCGACGTGGGAGGTAAAATGTATTTTTTTTTTAAATTTGATGATCTTGGTTTGTTTCGTCCAATAAAATATACTTTTAAAGTTAAATAATTACCAAAAAATTTCAATCTTTTCTCCTACCGGCTTTCAAAATTTTCTGTTTTGAGGAAATAAAAATATTTAATTGAATTTAATTTCTTATTTTTAGGTATTTCTACTTTAAATTCTTTCCGAATTCTGAATTCTGAAAACAAATTAATTTGATTTTAACAGTTAACATAAAACTTTTAGCTAATATTGTAATTTATTTATTTTCTATCGCATATATTCTTCTGTTCTATCGCTATCACTTGAATAAAAAATTTGTAGTTTGTAATATCTTATTAGATACATATTCTCACATGAAAATTACTGCAGCTATATTTTATCAATTATGAAAGTTATGGAGTTTTGTTTATGTCTAATCAAATTTGTTTACGTTCGTTTATTATTAATTTTTAATTACTACTACATGTTTACATGGCCAATCCAGCGAATTGGAAAAACTGCATCTAAATATGCACACACTGGCCGAGAAAAATGCGGTGGAGCTCCGTCATGCATGAACCACATATCTCTTATTAAATAAAGTATAACTTCTTGAAGCCGTGGAAGCATTTTTGCTTGGCCACCCAGCAGTCCGGACTTCAATCCTCTTGATTTTTCTATTTGATATTGAATGAAAGATATAGTTTACAAATAATCTATTGGTTTGCGTGAAGATTTGTGGCAAAGAATACAAATCGCTGCCAACAAAGTCACACGAAAGAAACACTAAGCTTTTAATTTCTTTCAAAATATACTCTTAGTGTTCGTTAAATCGATTTTTCTCGAAAACGGATCGATTATTCGAATTATTGGAAAAATGATTGCTCTTTCAGGTTTTGAATCAAGTTTCATGTTAGACATACAGGGTAAAAAGTTATTTATTAAATTTTCGGTAAAATTAATCGTAAGTGGGGCCTTCTATGAGCAACGCCGAAATTGCAACACGCATCTTATTCGTCGCTTAAAAAAATGTAACTTCACAAATTTTCAAGTTCGTAACCTACATATTTTCAGAATAATCGCAAAAAACGATTTAAAATTTTAACTTTCAACACGCTGTATTTCCGAAACTATCAACCCTCGGATAAGGCATGTTTCCGCCAATGGTCACCATTTTACGTGTAGTATCTTCAGCTTTCGATTTTCCCATTGTTAATGAATCACCCTGTATATACAGTGCTATTTTTTAAAAACCTGACATAGGCCAACTTTTTTATTTGAAGTAATAGACTAGTACTTCCAAATGCAAAGTTGTAGGAATTAAGAAAAATTTACAAATAATTTTTCCGGTGTTGCAAGATTTCTGCAGTTACTACTAAAACGATATTTTTTTAAATGGCAACATCATATTTTTTTAACATAATTTGGCAAACCATGAAATTCTAAATAAAAAATGTTATGTCACATTTCTTTATTGGAGTATAGCCGTTTTAGAACAATCAACAAAACCAACAAAAATAATCTGCAGTCGGCAGGAACTAAAAGAAGCTAACATAGCAATAGTAAGCCTTGCATATTAAACAAAAATTGAGTTGTTTGAAAGGAACCATCATTATTGTGCTGTCTGTCATTGTGGTATTTGACAGCTGTTGTATTTGAATATGTATAAAAGTAAGTAATAACGCTATAATTAAGTTGCGAATATGATTTTCAGCCTTTTGCAGTTCCTTGGACACACACTATCAGTTGCTTTTAGTTTTACTAAGTTATTTTTAAAAAAATCCGGATTTGGAAGAGGCGTATCGGGATGTCTTGCGTGGAATTAAAAATTAATTCAACTTTCTCTTGTGGATTATTTGTGGAACTGATTCATCTTAGCAACTGAATTAAAACGTTATTTTTTATAAACATTCAAATACAACAGCTGTCAAATAACACAATGACAGTACAATAATGATGGCTTCTTTAAAGCAGCACAATTTTTGTTTAATTTCCAACACCTGCTATTAATTGCCATGTTAACTTCTTTTAGTTCCTGCAGACTACAGATTATTTTCGTTGTTTTTGCTGATTGTTCTAAAACGGCTACTCCAATAAAGAAATGTGACATAACATTTAAACGAGCGCAATTGCAACGCTAAGTCGCTTAGTTATCGAAATAAAAAAAATTGGCGTAGAACCAGGTCAGACATGGTAGGTTTTATTAAGCATGTGATTGGGCATATGAAATGGTATTTTACGACATTTTTTGTTGGTCGGGATCTTTTTAATTTCAAAAAAAAAAAATCTATTTTTATGAGAATATGTTTTTAAGGTTTCCACCGTTATATCTCAAAAAATAATTGTACTATCAGAGTAATTTTTTTTAAAATTAAAGCAGACACAATAGAGCTTTTAATAGTACTAATGGATTTTATAAAACTCGCTTTTTCATTTCGCTAAAGATCAGGAAAACTTGATATTTAAATTTTGTGTAATACAATTTTCACCAATCGATAAACTTATTTATTTATGATTTTTTTTATATACATGCAGCGAAGAAAATGAAGCCCAAACACTAGATAAATTTTTGAAATAATTAGTTTTTTGCTAAAGCTTATAGTTTGACAACAAGCGATTATTTCATAGCGCGCTAAACTGATGCATGGGGCGTCCAACGTAATGTGTAATCTACATAGTGTACGGCTTGCGGGATTTGAAGTAGGTACATACGTACCTAATAGGCAGTGTGTAATAATCATCAGAACATATTAAGTTTTTAAGACAATGGAGTGCACTATTTGTAAGAAAACTGTGCGGGATGATGACAAATCTAGAGTACAAAGACCTAGAATACAAGATTTGTTGTCAAAAAAAACACAATATTTTAAATGGCGAAATTAAAATAAAATACTTTATAGACTGTCGCAAATCAATAACAAAAAACCTTTTATTTGAATGTATTTTTCAGCAATCGAGAAAAACTTTTATTTGTGAAAATTTGTATGTATTATACCTATATGCTGCGAACAAAATAAAGCCAATACATGAGAAATGTTTATAAAATCATAATTTTTTATGTGCATCTTATGCATCTTACAGTATGACGACCGCAATTTTTTTTAAACAAACTGAAGCCACATTTTTGCACACCTGGCTCTCGCATTAGACTGTTTACCGTCTGTCGTCTGTCTAATATCAGATCGCCGCGTCGCGTTGTTTTCGTGTGGAGTAGTCAAATTTTTATCGATTTTATTAACTTAACAAAATAACTTACCTATTTTGGTAACTACATATTTGGTATACAGCTAAGGTAAAAAACTAGCGAATTTTGAGAGCTGATTTAATTTATTTTTCCGCCTATGTGAGTTTGGTTTCTTATACCTATTTATTCAAAGTCATAACTATAGGTATTATTTAAAATTATTTAATTACCTGTTTGAACAGATATCAAACCTTTTCTCTTTTTGGTTCCACTATTATTGCAAATAAGGCACATTTTTCTAATATCAAAATTATGCGATTTTATCCGAGTTCCAGAACAATTTGAGGGACCGGCGGCACTGTCTGATTGCAAAATACAGCTAGGATCAATGTTTTGAAAACTATTGCATATATGCTTTACGACAGTCTAAATGGTATTTTATTTTAATTTCGCCATTTAAAATATCGTTTTTTTTTTACAGAATTTCTTTTGCGCGATTGTCTTGTCTTTTTTCAGCACTAGATATTAGTGACAACAAACCTTTAATTCTAGGTTTTTGTATTACAGATTTGTCATCATCCCTTACAGTTTTCTTACAAATAATGCACTACATTGTCTTAAAAAACTTAATTATTCTGATGATTATTACACACCACACGTACCTACTCCAAATCCCGCCATACACTATGTAGATAATGTAGATTACACATTACGTTGGACACGCCCAATTGCATGCATCATTTTCGCGCGCTATGAAACAATCGCTGTTGCCAAACTTAATGTATGCGTTAGGAAAAAACTAATTATTTCAAAAATTTATATAATGTTTGGGTTTCATTTTCTTCGCTGCATGTGTAATAAAAAAATCATAAATAAAAAAGTTTATCGATTGGTGAAAATTGTATTACACAAAATTTAAATTTCAAATTTTCCTGATTTTTAGCGAAATGAAAAAGCGAATTTTATAAATATTTATATTCGCGTGATACGTCTGATTGCAAAATACAGGTAAGATCAATGTTTTGAAACCTGGCATATGATTTACGAGTCTATAAGGTATTTTATTTTAATTTCGCCATTTAAAATATTGTTTTTTTTTTGACAACAAATCTTGAATTCTAGGTCTTTGTACTACAGATTAGTCATCATCCTGCACAGTTTTCTTACAAATAATGCACTCCATTGTCTTAAAAGCTTAATATATTCTGATGATTATTACACACTGCTTATTAGGCACGTACCTACTTCAAATCCCGCAAGCCGTACACTATGTAGATTATACATTACGTTGGACGCCCCATGCATCAGTTTAGCGCGCTATGAAATAATCGCTTGTTGCCAAACTATAAGCTTTAGGAAAAAACTAATTATTTCAAAAATTTATGTAGTGTTTGGGCTTCATTTTCTTCGCTACATGTTTATAAAAAAAATCATAAACAAAAAAGTTTATCGATTGGTGCAAATTGTATTACACAAAATTTAAATATCAAGTTTTCCTGATTTTTAGCGAAATGAAAAAGCGAGTTTTATAAAATCCATTAGCACTGTTAAAAGCGCTATTGTGTCTGCTTTAATTTTAAAAAAAATTACTCTGATAGTACAATTATTTTTTGAGATATAATGGTGGAGACCTTAAAAAACATGTTCTCATAAAAATAGATTTTTTTTTAATTTTTCGAAATTAACAAGATCCCGACCAACAAAAAATGTCGTAAAATACGATTTCATATGCCCAATCACATGCTTAATAAAACCTACCATGTCTGACCTGGTTGTACGTCAAAAAAAAAACGACACAATAGACTCTTCATATCGCTGCACTAATTTTCTATTTAGAATTTGAAGCTTTGTCAAATTATGTTAAAAAAATATGGTGTTGCCATTTTAAAAAATACCGTTTTTGTAGATACTGCAGAAATCTGGCAACACCGGAAAGAATTATTAGTAAATTTTTCTTAATCAAGTTATTTCCTACAACTTTGCATTTGGAAATACTAGTCTATCACTTTAAATAAAAAAGTTGGCCTATGTCAGGTTTTAAAAAATGTCACTGTGCATCTCTTAAAAAGTTTAGACCGTTTTCTGTGAGGTCGTAGCCTTAAAGTCTCTTATTTTTGTCATTCCTACTACACACTCTCCGTGATCCGCGTATCTAAAGCTCAAGGAGCGGACAAGGTGACATTGGTCAAGGTTATAATATTTGAAGTTACTTACTCTTGGGGTGACAGGGTATCTATATTAGACTGCAACCAATTTTCGTAAACATCTCCAAGATTCCTTCCACTTATATCAGTGATTAATGGTGTCATAGTTACTCCCGGACAAATCGCAATCACTCTAACTTTAGTTCTCTCGTAGTGGTAAGGGTCACCCCATGACCTGGTTAAGGCAATGACGGCGGCCTTGGTCCCGCAATATATGGGGGTGTTTGGGAATGCACCAACACCGGCAATAGAAGAAATGTTTACTATGACAGCCTCAGGTCCTTGCTGATATTTTAGTAAATAGTTCTCCAGTCCTAAGAGAATTCCATGTATCGTACCATTCTACACAAAAAATAAATAAATGAGAAATCAAATTAAAATTATAACTTTGATTCAAAACTTTTCAAAAACTATAAGTACACGTATGTCTATTAAGAAATAAATGTCATCTCGTAAAATATTACCAAGATCGGAAAACTGAAATATTGGTTGGCAACATTGCGTTACGCATAGGGACTTCGATCCCGGCCTTTATTTCTAATCCCGGGATTTCGGGATTATATTTAGTCAGTCCCGGGATTATTTCAGTATTGAAGGTAACAAATAAAAAATAAGAAAATCTTACAGAAATCAAGTCTTTAGTCAATAAATCAAAATTTATACAAAAATCAACGTAATCAAAATTTAGACAAAAATTAATATATTTTACGGTATACACCTAGATAGTCTAATAACTCTAACTAATCAGACATGGAGTCAGACTAACCACACTTAAAATCACTCAGTCTTTATGTTAAAGTTATTATTTTTTTCCCGGAATGAAATCCTATAGACGCGTTACACATAACCTCCTCTGTAACCACATGTTCTTGGATTGTTAATATCTCATTTAGTTTTTCTGATATTCTTACCTATTTGAGTGCAACGATTTAAGTGTTAGTGACGATGTTTGAAGTGGGCGATTTTCTGTAAAATTTTGCGTGAAGCTGGAGAAAACTTTCACGGAAATGGTCGTATGCAATGTTACAAATAGTTTTCACGATTTAAAAATGATCATTAGTCATTTAAAGATGGTCCTCGACAAGCAAGGCTTTCGACTTCATCTGATGACTGCCACGTTCAGAAAGTCAAAGATCTGGTGCGTGCAAATTGCCAATAGACTGTCAGAGAAATTACTGAAGAAGTTATCTTCGCAAATGAATCACGCCATGAAATTTTCACTGAAAAATTGACTGTAGACGTATGTTGACAACTCCTTGAACAATCTAATGATGGTGAAACATTCATTCAGAGAATCATAGCAAGAGGCGAAAGCTGGGTTTACGGCTACGACATTGAGGCAAATGTTCAATCATCACAATAAAATGGCAGAGGATCTCCACGACCTAAGAAAGCACGTCAATGTCAAAGTGATGCTCGTTGTTTTTCGACCTTAATGGAACTGTGCATTTTGAATTATTTCCTCAAGGTGAAACAGTGAACGCTATCATCAAGGCGTATCGCAATGGTTACGTGAAAGAATCTGCAATAAGAGACCATAGTTGTGGCGAGACAAATGATGGTTCTTGCACCATGGCATGCGCCCGCACATTCTGTCTGTCATGTTTGTGGCAAAAAAAAAATCAGATTACTATCCTCCCTTGCCCTCCTTACTCGCCAGACCTGGCTCCTTGCGATTTTTTCTTATTTCCGAAATTAAAATCAGTGCTGATGATGATCAAAGCAAATTCGTCACAGACTTTAAAGGTCATTTCAAATGAAGTTATCCAGACTGCTTTGCAAAATGGAAATACCGCTGGGAAAAGTGTGTGAATAAGGAAGGGGGGGTACTTTTAAGATGATAAGGACCAATAATGTATAAAATTTATAATAAAGTTTAAAAAAATATGTTCTGTTATTTTCTGAACAGACCTCGTATATTTGCAACAATATGCAAATAAGCTTATCTACACAAACATTTAAATAAACCATGTAAGACAGACTCTTTCCTAGCTCTGGTATTATCAAAAATACAAAAATGGTTCTCAATTAAAAGTCCCCCCAGAGTAGTTTCTTCATATTTTTAAATTATTTTGGATTATATAGAATATCCTGCTTCTTTTGGGAGTTACCTAATTTAATTTTTCAAATGAAATACGCAATATATTATTGCATTTTTGAATTTTTTGTTGTATATAAAGCCTACTTTGATAAACCAATATTAGTCTTAGGAATCCATATTGTAAATACGGATATAACAAAAAAATGAGAGCTAAACCTTTGTAAAATGTATTGCGTTAGTTTTTAAGTATATGTACTAATTTTGCACATATTAAATATATTATTGCTGCTCAATCATTTATAAGCAACATTATGTTTTCTAAATTACACTTATTTTTTTTACTGTTAAAGTACACTACTCTGCATCGTATATTCTAAAAACTACATCAGAAATTCTTATAATCTCTAATTAATATGTACCTAGAAGCACTGAGTACTTACAACATTTATTGCAATTTCCTTTTCCCATATCTTGTCATTCAAAATTCCTGCATTATTTATTAAAATGTCAACATGTTTGAATATTTCCACTGTTTTTTTAAAAGCATCTGAAAAATCGAACAATATGGGTTACTTACGTTAAACATAATAAAATTATTCTTACTCTCAAATTGTTGAATATCAGTCACGTCTGTTTTTACAAACACTGCCCTGTTGCTGCCAAATTCTTTTTCTATTTCCGCCAAACCGGTTTTGGCGAAGTCGGGATTTAGATCGGCCAATGTTACCGCCTGAAAAAAATATATAAATATAATAATAACGAGACAAAATTATTTAAAGATTAATATTTAAATTATTTCTAATAATTAGTTAATCTAAAAAAAATCCAAAGGTAGATTCACTTTCGATTATACTGTAAGCTAGGTATTCCTGAATGGCAACGATTCCAGGTCTAGTTGTTTCTACCGCTATATAAAAGGCAACACACTCTTGCGTTATATCTTCTACCCCATCTAAAGCCATGAATACTCCAGTCGAATTGGAGTTTGAACGTAAAAAAATTATTAGTAGACATTTTATTGCATTTTGTGACGAGGAAGATCACGTAAAATAATATCAGAAAAGTAACTCGAAAGAAGTGACGTTAAGTTGGCAAATTGCAAATAAGTTGCAATATTACGTTTTCTCACTTTGTTTACTGCCCATGTAAATCTCGGCGATATACAGGGTGCGGCGTGTATAATCTATAAAAATTAAACTACAGACTCCTAACGATATTTGTAATAGAAAAAGTTCTATTTTTGCGGTTTTTTTTTTCGTAAATTAAAGTTCGATTATGGATCAAAATATTTTCTCTGGAACGGTCCTGTCCGTGTGCTGTACGATGAGTTACGTGCTGTAGAGCCTGTAGACCAGTCGCGTAAACAAATCGTCGTTGAAAGATAGAAAGATACTTCTCAATTGTTGAGAAATTTTTCAATGCAAAAATACAAACTAAGAAAAATAGCTGAATAGAAAAACTTATATTTTCTTCCTATAATAATTAATAGTAATTACTATCTTAAATGTATTGTTGTTACTGCAAGAGTTCACAAACAAAACCACATCCGTAAGCATCTGTAGTTGCCAACTGCGTGCACTAAACAACAAAATATGGAACAAAATGAAATTAAACTTACCATTTCTAGAGAAAATGTCGAAATTGATCCCCATTAGCGCGCGCACAGGCATGGCGAATATTTTCCCAAATTCCAGGTATTCCCCTAATTGTGTCAGCAGCTTCAAGTATACGGTTTCGCAATTCTTCCACAGTAGCAATTGGAGTATTGTAAACCAATGACTTCAAGTGACTCCAGAGATAAATGTCCATTGGAGTTAGATCGGGTGACCGAGGTGGCCACGGCATATCACCAAAGCGTCCAATCCATCGCTGAGGAAACATTCAAAAGTGTCGTTACCTACTTCTCGAGTACTGTGTGGAGAAGCCCCATCTTGAAGATAAAACATGCGTGCCAAAACTTGTATTGTCATATTGTCCAATAATTCAGGCAACCGGTTCTCCAAAAAGTCAGCATATATTGAACCTTCAAAGAAATAGGCATTATGCCAGCCCAAACATTTACAGAGAACCGATGTTGAAAATGAGTTTCCCTAATCGCGTGAGGATTTTCATCGCCCCATATGTGCATATTATGGAAATTCACTTCATCATAATGACTTCAAGTGACTCCAGAGATAAATGTCCATTGGAGTTAGATCGGGTGACCGAGGTGGCCACGGCATATAACCAAAGCGTCCAATCCATCGCTGAGGAAACATTCAAAAGTGTCGTTACCTACTTCTCGAGTACTGTGTGGAGGAGCCCCATCTTGAAGATAAAACATGCGTGCCAAAACTTGTAATGTCATATTGTCCAATAATTCAGGCAACCGGTTCTCCAAAAAGTCAGCATATATTGAACCTTCAAAGAAATAGGCATTATGCCAGCCCAAACATATACAGAGAACCGATGTTGAAAATGAGTTTCCCTAATCGCGTGAGGATTTTCATCGCCCCATATGTGCATATTATAGAAATTCACTTCATCACAGGTAAATGTCGTCTCATCTGTTACAAACTGGATGCAGATGATATGGGTGCAACAGCTGGCGCCTTAAGATGCGGTGTACGGTACGAGATGAGATTCCTACTTGCTGTGCGAGTCGTCGAGTACTAATTGTGGGGTCTTCGTCAAGATTTTCCAACACTACATCTTCAACATTAAGGTTCACTTGCTGATCACGTCCTTCTCCTCGAGGAATAACACTTCCCGTATCTCGCAGCCACTGCACGCACTGTAGAATTGTACTTGCACATGGGGGGTGACGTTGTGGCCATCGTTCCCGATACAACTTACTCGCCGCGAGCGCATTTTCTTCGGCTGCACCATATACTAACACCATATCCACACGTTCGGAAATAGTAAATGCATTCTTTTCTCGGTTCATTGTAAAACCAGTTTGTGCACAAACTAAAAAATTAAGCAAACTAAGAAATAAGAATCTCGTTTTTAATGTAATCGGCACGCTATTCTTATCTTTTACTTCTTTATAAAAATTACACTGTAATCGTGGAATTACAAAATAAAAACTTTTGTCTTGAATCTTTTACTTTTTAACACTGATGGGTCGATGGACTATGCTTAATATTTAATAATTAAGTAAATAATGAATTCAATACAAATAGAAAATCAGTTGACTGCACAAATTTTTTAACAATGCAACCTTTTAGTATTACTAGTATTAGATTATACCGACTTAAATTATAAGGTTACATCTTGCGTCGCATAAAAAATATTTTTAGTAAATAACACAGTGTCGGCCTTCATTTTCATTGAATAAATGAACTTTAATTTACAAAAAAAAAAAAACGTGAACTTTTTCATATAAGACTTTTCTATAACAAATATCATCAGGAAGCTGTGGTTTAATTTTTATAGATTATACACGCCACACCCTGTATAGGAGAATTTGTTATATGTAAATTAAATTAACTACATAGAGAAACCTATAATCGAAAAACTGTCAGATGATATCCGAGAATAATTTACACAAAGCATTTTTGAAGAGACAGATTTCATACAAGACAAAGCAGATAGACGGTGTTGAATCCATTCCTGCCAAAAAAAGTAGAGCTGAGTAACAGTAAATTTATATAAATATAAATCATCGTTTTTATTGTATTTGAAATTTTTAAAAGATACATATTCTGTAAAAAAATTCTTCCAATAAATAAAAAAATGAAATATGAGAAAAAAGTAATATTTATAGGTATTATTCAATCAAAAGTAAAATTTATAGGAATATTCTTAATTTTAAAAAAATTAATGTTTAATTTGCAACGGATTAATACCGACAATGTATATTTTTACGAGGGCATTGTACTCGTCTCGACGAGATGCCCAAAATAAAAAAAAATGTATCAAAATTGATTTGGCAATTCTCGATATAGAGACCACGTGCGGGTCGTTTATGAACGTTAACCTTTACTACTGCTTTTTTTTATACGTTTCTTTGAATCAATTATAACCTATATATACGATATTAACTTCTAAAATTAACGTTTAGTAATTATACAATTAGTTGCAAAAAAACGAAATTAATTAACAAATAGCTGGAGCAATAATTTCACGGAAATCGAATCGGCCTTTGGTACACATGTTGATCTTTGGAATAACCGTCTTTTCTATAAATTTCATCAACATCCATTGCTTTTTGCAATAATAAGCACAATTTTCGAAAAATATTTTTTCCGCGTTCGACCTTTATTTTACAGCTAACAAGTTTGTGATATATCACTTTAGATACCTTAAATTGTAGGTAATTTAATTGCCCACAACATAAAATATCAAATTTTCCGATACGTCGTCTAGATTTTCATGGGCAGTAAAAATAGAGACAAAACACGTAATTTTCCAACTTATTTGCCATTTGCCAACTCGGCGTCACTCATAATGAGATAATTTTTGATGAGTAAAAAATAAATTCTAAATCATGCTGATTTGCCAATGTCATCTTTATTAGCAAGGCCATACTGTTCTTATGGCATATAATAATTTTATGAATATAACAATTAAGGATTATTATCTATTACTCCTGAACTATGCAAATATCCTACTAACATTTTACAAAATTATTAACGAGAAATAATAAGATTATATTAATAAAATTATATCCTGTAATCATCTTTAAAATGTCTAAATATAGGTACAAGAGTTTATTATTTTGTTATTTGTACCTGATCGTATGTTTGTTTATCTTATCACTTTACAAAAACCATTAAAATAAAAAAATATATGTATTAAATTGTATTGGATATATTGTTCTAATATAAATTTATGTTGCCTATAACTTCGTAGCAGAGCTGGGTAATTCCTGGTGAAAAAGTAATTAGCAATTACAATTCCCTTTTTTTCCCTGTAATTGTAATTGTATTTAAGTACTTTTTTTTATTAAAGTAATTTGGAATTGTAATTGCAGCAAAATTGTTATAGGAATTGTAATTTGTAATTATATTATTTGAACTATCGAATTACAAATTACTTCTATAAGTACAAATACTTTTTCCAATTACAATTACTTTTTCTATTAATTATAATTACTTTTAAGATCATGCGTATTGCGTAATTGCGTACAGACTTGCAGACTTCTATTATTTCAGTTGAGGAAAGCCTTGTGCCGCGTGAACAATAATAAGTGATTTGAATTAACCTCAGAATTAACAGAGTACATTTTATTTTATTATAATTATTATTAATTTAGAAAATATACGAAGTAAAAATATGTTGTCTATAGCATCAAGTTTTATAAAAATATATATTATGTATCTATGTGTTACTGCTCTTATTTTGAGTTGAGAAAACTTCTGGTTCGGTTACTCAGCCTTTCACTCGTACTTGTTCGATTCGTAATTTTTTTAATAATAATTATTGCTTTCCAGTCTACCCAAAACTACTGTATTCTATATTTTGCAAATGTACTAACAACCAAAAAAAAGAGCATCGGGTTGAATTAATTACCTGACCAATAATATAAAATTATAGTATGAACTGAACTAGTTTAAATTATTAGATTAGGAATAAAAATATAAAAATTCTATATCAGAAAATGAATAAGAATAATCTTTTCATTTTAGTATCAATTCTAATAAATAATAAAACGCAATATTACACAACACTTTTAATTTAAATTTTTAACTTAACTTTTTCCTTTTTCTCTGTTTGGTCACTATAATTTACTTTATCATAAAAGTAATTAGAAAAGTAATTGCTAAATCCATTTTCCATGTAACTGTAATTAAATTAATATAATTCATTTTTTAAAGAATATACTTTGTAATTGTAATTAGTTCCTTTTTTTAAAAAGTAATTTGTAATTGTAACTATTTTTAAATTACAAGTAATTACCCAGCTCTGCTTCGTAGGAGTTTTAAAAATCACTGTTCATTTTCATTTTGTTGTATTTAAAAATGTCTTTATTATTTACTTTTAAATACAAATAGCTTCAAACTAAGAGCAAACTTATCCCGACCAACTTTCATTCAACAATAGAATACATACAGTTTTCAAAAACTGTTCTGACATACCTATCTCTTGTTAATAAGTGAACAATTTTTTTAAAATCATTTACTGTAATAGTGTATGAAGTCCGTGATAACCATTTTCAACAACTCATCTATTAATTTAAAGCTTTTTATATGTTCTGTTACTTTTTGAACAGATCTCGTACATATGCTATTACCTAGGCAACAGTGTCAATGTGGTTCTTATATGAAATTTTTTTATCAAATATGGTATATGATCAAGGTCTCGAAACGTTTTTAGTCATAATCAATGCTGTAAACTTGTTGAAGAAGGACATAACATTATATTATTCAGTATTTAACATTAGCCTATTTTTATTAGATCAAGATTTTATATTATATAGGGTTTAGTTGAAGCTGGACTCAGTCTATAGATGGAGCTGTATTTTCACGTCATTGGACATGAAAAAAAAATTACATCTACGTTATTAAATAATTGTACACCACAGGTCGATCCTTTAGAGCTCATATTTTAATTAATGCAAGGCCTACTGTGATACATTATCTGTACCAAATTTTATTGGGATCGGTTAACAGATTCCGGAGATATAAACAAAAAATTAATTTTTTTTAACAACTTCAACACCCTGTATCTCTAAAACGGGGCCGTTCCAGACCTATGTTTATAAGGCAAACACCTATTATTTTAAAGAGATCTATCTGCCCTCGAAGTTTCCTGCATAAAATTCGGACCACCCTGTATAAATTGCATAAGGCAAATCCAGTTAGTAAAAGTAAAGCGTCTTTTCATAAAACTGCGATGAAATGTATAAATAGAGAAATGAAGTGAAATTTCAATTAATTTACAGAAATTATATAAAACGGTATTGAAATTAGTAGGTACCATTAAGGGTCGAGAAAAAAATCTTTAACAATCCCTTGCGAGAGCATCATTCGAGCCAGTGGTCATTTAAGGTTTAATTCTTTTTAAAGCTGAAAAAATTTCAGTTTCACTGAAGTCGCGGATATGCATAAAATTATTAATGTCGTTGTTGGAAACTAAGTTATACTGTCGGAAAATTACAGAATATCAGATTTAGAGACGAAATCAGCAAATGCATCAATATCACTTGAGTCTGTATGGTTGAGATATATTTGTGGAGCCTTTTTGGTTGTATTTGATAGATACTTCGGCGCCCCTAATCATTTCAAAAAACTGTATACAACATAAATATGAAGAGTCTCAACATTTTTCTAAATATTGATGAGATTTTTTAAACATCAGTCCGCTACTTTTTCAGCAACCTTTATGAAATAAAATATGTCCAAATTTTAAATAACTGAAACTACTTACCTTGACACCATTGCGGAGAAGTTGCTTTGCATACCGCAATCCTATCCCAGAAGCACCACCGGTAATCAAACCTATTTTTCCAACCAAATCGAGAACCATTTTCCTAGTTGTCTTGATTGTATCAAGGTAAGGATTAAAAATCTAATGAATCCGGAGCAGTTACTATCCTCTCCTTCAAACGAAATTGCCATGTTTTCATTTCAATTCATCACAATTTAGATAATTTTAAACTAGTTCAATTTAAACGATTATATCTGTACATTATGTTGTAAACTATTGTTTACATCAGGATTTTTGAACAAGTTCAATGTCAACATAAATAAATATTAAGGTGTTGCAGATAAGCCAAATTGTATAATTTGATGTATAATTACAACCAAGATATCCAAAAAAATATCAGTATCTTCCTTTTTACTCAAAATAAGAGGATGTCGTTTGTACAGGGTGAATGAGATTTAACACCTCACATCCTATAGAAAGGAATATTTTTTTAATATGGATATTTTTCCAAAAATGCTCAATCTTCAAGTTACAGATTGATAAAATTTAAAAATCAATCTACTTTTTATATTTTTCGACTTAACGAAGATTGGCAGATATAAATTTCAACAAAGCGAAAGATAAGAAAATAATTTCACCAAAACGAATTTTACGTCACAAATATGAAAAAATATCAAGACATTTGTGTAATATTCCGATTTCGTATGAGCGATGATAAAACATTATACACCTATATGTCCTGTTGTACAATTTTACGTTAAACTTCATCTTAAAAAATTATTTTTTTGATCTAATGTCATGTGTCTGTATTTTATTTCTAATCAGGAAAATATTTAAGTTTTCATTTATAAGTACAGTATGTCTCACTAAGTTAGAACCTTATGGAAAACATTTTTATTATTAATTTTAGGAAAAAAAGTTATTCTTCATAAAAAATTTTTCAGTCGTATACGCGGTTTTTCAAAAAATATGAATTTTACGCAAGAGTGAAGTACCTCTATATTTGATAATATCGAAAATTGTTATAAAGAAAAGTTGATCAGAACTAAAAACTACGTCCAAATATGCAATTACATCAATTTACATTGAAAAATTAGGTTTTGTTATTTTTTACTAATCCTTCTATTTTGAATGAACATTTATCTCTTTACTCCAGTCGGCAGAGGCCGAAAAGTTGTTAGTGACATTTTCTTGATAACTCGGAAATAACTGCACAGGTCTACTTTAAATGATGAGTACAATAACAGGCTAATTTGCTGACAAAGTATTTTATCAGGAAAAAAAGTTATTAACAATTTAATCGTGAAAAAAATTCAGCGGGATGACTTTGTACGAAAAAATGCTTAGGACATGATTTTGTTCGTAATAAAAATAGCTACAAAATGGCGGTGGTCCGATTACGAAATTTGCAATAACAAAGCCGTGAGATTGAAAAAACGGTATAAAACGCCAATTTTTTTAAGTTGCTGTAAAAATGTCAATTATAAACAAAAAGTGATAAAACTTTCGAAAACTATAGTTCAATATATATA